CCCCCCCTTAGTAGAAGTGAAATGTCAATGAAATGTATTTCTGGGTATTTTTAGTTTTGGGAAGTGATATCACTGTCACTATGGGAACCATAAGCATTGAGGTTATTTCACTGCAGGTTGTGATCTTGTTATAGAAGTAAGGTTTGTGTGTTTCTTTCTTTTTTTTTTTTTTAAAGATCTGGACTTAAGATGCAAGTAAGCATTATAAGTGTATGTATTCTAGGCCTTGATTTTTAGAAATTTTTCTCTTGTGAGGAAAGTCATGCATGTTAAAAATCAGTAGTTTTGTACAAACCAAGGTATCCATATCTGTATAAAACTTTTGTAGGACCCAAGCCTTTACAGAATGTCAAGCTGACTGCCTTTCATTTGGTCTGTGACTTATTATGCCATAGGTTATGCAATTAATTAAACTTTAGCACTCAAAATACTGTACCATTCATCTGGTGCAAAGCTAAATGTACACAGAAACGTTGGTATGACTATGTCAAATTGTTGGTACAGTTGGGTCCTATTTCTTTGCAATTAACTCCCTTAAGTTAAAAGAACTTTCTCCTTTGCCCAAATAGATCAGACTTGTGTCCGATTGTAAACTTGTAGTTCTTGACCAAATCCTTTTTCTTTTTTTTAATCTTTCCCTCAGGCTGATGACCATATAACTTCAGAACCCAGGATTAAAAAACTGGAACCAGTACTTTTGCCAGGTAAATGTAAATCTGGGATTTGACAGGTGTCTGAACTCAGATATGTTTAAGCCTTCTGTTTAATCTAATAGGATTGGTAGTTTGCAAATTGCTCTCCTTATTTGTCTGTCCTAACCTTTTTACCTAAACCTAAAAGACTAAATAAATGTGTAGGCAGTCTCTCCCGTGTAATGGGTTAGTATGTGTAGAAGAATGTCTTGGTTTTGCTGTGTGTATTTGAAACAGGGAACCGCTGTACGTTCTGTAGCTTCTGTGACACCTTCTGGAAGCCTATCTGTTAATAATTATATCTTTGCCAGATAGGCAGAACTTTACATGTGCGCAGAACCCCCTCACATAGCCTCTGTTGCAATCTTCTGTTATTTTTAAGGGAAAATATTTATAGAACTTCCACTAAGTAGGCATAATTGACTACTATATTAGCAAACTTCTAATGCCATCTTTATTCATTTTCTCTTATTTAATACTTAGCTGTTCTGTAATTTTGGAAACTGTAAGTGTCTTGAAACCTATGCAGAATAATCTTTTTAATGTGTGGATTAAAAAAGCAATGTATATATTTTTTTATCACTGTTCATAATTATATATGTATGAAAATCTAACATGTCTTTGACCTCTCTTCCGCATCTTAAGTAAGAAATAAAATCTTTGGTTCAGCCAGGGAGCTCAGTGAATGAGGATTTATGAAAGCCTTCTTCAGGTACCAAAAGAACATTCTATTGTTCTCTGTATTACTTAGTCAGAAACTGTACGTCACAATAGTAAGTTTGGCCAACTCCAAAGCTTGGCATTTCCAAGTTTTACTTTAAGTTTAAAACAGCTGTAAAATGCATTTTTTTCTTGTCGTTTTGCTTATATGTTACCGAAAATGTATGCACGCATACACAAACACGTATGCGCTAGTGTCAGAAGCTATTGCTAAGAGGTTGTCTAAGTTTAAAGATTTTGTCTGAGATTAAGCCTGCTAACTTTCAAAGTGATGAAAAGAATAAACAAGTTATTCTTCCAAGTTAATTATTTTTCTTACTGCTTCATATTGGACTCTTGTTAATTAAGGAGCACTATTTGGTGTGGTGTGGTCCAGTGAGATGCCTTAAGCTGGAGAGACTGAAAGCTTGAGAAAAAGAAGAGGTTCTATTGAAAGAGTAAATCCTGACTCATTGACCCTCCTAATGAAATAAAAGAATATGGATTCTGTTTGAGGCATAAACACCCTGAAATACATTGCTATGGTTAATATTTGTAATAGTTACATTTTTTTTGCCTGCGAAACTTCTGCTTATCGCTTGGCATCTTATTGGTTCTGTCGCAGTTGTTATTCATCCAAGGTCTTTGACTCACGAGGAAGTGACTGCGTGTTCTTCTTTGATACATCCCACAATAAATGCAAGGCAGTATGAGATTACTTTTTTTTTTGAAATGTAGTACATCGCGCCTTTTCTGTGACATGCACAGCAGTTACGCAAAACAACTTAGGTGCAGTAACTTTTTGCTGTTGTTAATTCTTGGTTTGTGAAACCCCAAAGTACACTTAAAACAGTGCTGACCGGCTTATATTTATCCTAGGTTTATATCATTTCTCATTTTCCTTGTCTGTGTTATCTTTAAAGTTGGCATTTGCTGCCTTTGGGGGCGTTTGTAAAGGAAATTGCCATAGGTATATGGCAGACCACAGTATTAAACTTCTGCCTTTGTATCATTCTGGGGTGCTATTTTGAGTTTATTTCCTAATCAAATTCATCCTTCCATCCAGTTACAGAATAGCTCTGGCAAAATATTTCAGTTTTTGTAAGTCTCCATCTCAATGAGAGTGGAGAGAAGTTTAGAAATTGCTTATTTTAAATGACTTGAATGAAACTCTTCCTGTTTAAACACCAGCTTAAATGTGTGGGTTTTTTTTGTTTTTTTTTGTTTTTTTTTGCTTCTGTCATCAAATGGTGCTTTGGAAAAGTGTATAAACAAGTACACGTTGTACTGTTGGATAGACTGGCTTTTGGATTTGTCATAACCTAAGTTTCTGGCCAGATTCCAACTCATTTAATTACATTATGGCTGACTTGTACTCCCCTGCAAGTACAGTTTGAGTATGGTATTCCTAATATCCTGTCCTTAATAGCTATGTGAAGTTGCTTTTGTTCTCAGAAACAGCATTAAACCTGAGTGGCTGAGAAGTGTTTAGTTGGTGGAGTTTTTAAGGAGTTCTTTTGGAATGAAGTTATTTCTGATAACTGTAGTTTTTGCAGCTTACTAGTCAGTAACTACTTTTACTGACTAGTAATTTGCAGAAACTGCAGATATCTGTACGAAGTTTTTGATACCTAAAATGTAATTGTTTTGAGGGAGTAGTTTACTAAAAACTGAAATTCCAAAATAGGACACTAGATAAATACTCTACTGCCTAACTCTTATTTTTGTGCAGTGGAGGTTAGGAGTGGGAGTTCCAGACATGGAAATAATGAGTTAGGTTCCCAAATGAGATATTAATTAAAAATAAATTTTAGAATTTACGCTTGCATCAACTTTTAACCTGTAGAATTTATTTTCAGAGTTTCCTCTGCAGCCCAGAGGAATGAAGATACATCTTCTAAGCTTTTTCAGACGAAACCCTATATTTTCATGCAACTGTGCCCTGAATAGGGTGTGGCTTTAAGAAAAGCAACAAGCCTCCTTTACCAAGTGAAAAAAAACATAGCTGTAGTTCCAACACTGGTATTATAACAGTGAAAAGCAAATAATTTTATAGAATTCAGTATGCTTTTATTTCAAAACACATGGTATAGTTTTAAGATAAGAGTTTTTCATTCTGCAATGTCGTTCTTCTAGTCTGGCTCCCTGATAAAGAATTTGTGCAGATTTATATGAAGAGTTGGCTTGTACAACAGTTTCACTTTTTTTTTTTTTTTTACTTTATTTGTTTGCCTAGCTTGTTTTGTGAACGTACCAAAAAGAAAGAACAGAAGAAATAGGAAGCAGTCTAGCAGTCAATCCATCAGAGTGACTTGCCTGCTTAATAGGAAATTAGCTATTATAAGCATATATATTTATTATATGAATATGCATGTTTATTTATTATATGAATTGGCTACTATTACTTTTCCTAAGTAATTGTAATGTATTTCCAAGGAGTTGCATTGTTCCTTTCCACATCATCTGTAGCGTTTTTGAGACATTGACGTAAACATTCAAAAAAATTGTGTAACATAACTGGACTATAGTATTGTGTATATTTTTTTTTATTTGAATGCCAAAATGGTGTGGCAATACACAGGTGGGTAATGAACCCACCTGGTGTCCGCACTGAAAGCAGGGTGGCACCGTGGTGCAGGCAAGATCAGGGGAAAAGGTCCTTGCAGGTGCTCATGTACGATGTTCTGCAGGAGGTGATGTAACTCCTGGGACAGTCTGAGTGAGTGAGTGGGAAGGATTGTTCTTCTTGAATCTTAATACCATTTGTGGTAATTACGTATTAACATGTTGCTCTGTATACTAATCTGCCAGAAGATTAAGTTAGTAGTTCTTAGCTGTAAGTTTTTACAAACCGACTAGAAAATACAGTTTAGTCATTTTTATTTTTAAAAGTGTGTACAGTAAAATTATAGAACTAAACTGAATTAGATCAGACTTCTTTTTTATCATCAAGACCTCCTCACATTAGCGCAAGTTAAGAGAATGTTGTTGGTGAGCTCCTGTTGCAAAACTGTTATTGTTTGTCTCTTGTGTCTGCGCCACATCTTGTGGTCTGATGGTAGTTCTGTAGAAGTCAACTTCCAGCAACATCGGTGGGGTGGGATCACAGCCATGGTGGGTTTGTAAACAGGGCATAAGAATGGCCACACAGAGTCAGATGTCTCCTCTCACTGTCGGGCCAGCAGCAGGCACGTGGGAGGAAGAAAGAGCAGGGCAGGCAGCCCTCAGCTGCTTGTTCTGCTCTCGCAGCTTCCTTCAGCTTGTGGCGTGGGGACTTTTAGAGTGAAGTAGTGTAGAGAAGTTACAGGTCATCATGGAGACAGTGCTATCTTTGTAATTCCTCTTGCTGGTTTTTCTCATGTGAATTTATCTAGTGCTTTCTGTACCATGTAAATTTTTAGCACTCGGAGCTTCAGCTGGTGAGGGCTTCAGCAATGTCTTTACATGCTGTTACAAACTACCCTAATTTGTTTGTTCTGGACCTACCACCATCTAGTTTCTTTGGCTGCATGCTAGTTCTTGTATCACATAGCGAACGTCAAGCCCTATTCTCCCATTCCATGCCGTTCATGATTTTAAGACCTATGTCACTAACCCCCTCTGTTTTGTTTCCCTTCAGATTAGTCATCTGAGTTGGTCCTAACAAGGAAGTCTTCATTACCTCTGATTATATTTTTGATCATCTCTGAGCATTTTCCACTTGTGCTATGTTCTTGTTGGGTGGAATCATATGTATGTAGTCTTCAAGATTTTGCCATCGTATATATACTTGTTAAGGATCTAATAATGCCAATCTAATTGATGACACCACCACCTGCTGTTCTTTGGGTTTTTTTGTGTGTATGCATGCTTTGATAAACAACTGGAAATTTGCGGGGGGGGTGTTAAGGATATATCAAGGAAAGTTTTAATCTTTTAGAAGTGTTGGATTCTCTGAAGTAGCTCCCAGTCCCCCTTTTTCTACTGTATTTTTGTTCCTTTGCTTTGCAAAATGTTAGTACCTTAAATGGTGTGTTCCAGAGCAGCTGCAACACATCTTATAATAGAAGGAAAGCACACCTTTTGGTGAGGCGCTCTGGAGTGCAGTGCCCCAGGTGTGTTCACTCCGGACTGTTCTGCACCCCTGGGCCTCTTTCCTGGCAGTTTCCTTTGCTATGTGGGATCCCAGAGCTGGGGAGGAGAGGTCAGGGTGTTGTGGTGTGAGTGAATGAGGTTTCAGCACTGGGGGGGGGGGTAAGAAGTATGGAACAGGTTAGTGAGCTTAATGTGTAACCTCAGAGACTTGTCAGGTCTGTTTTTCTTGTGGGTAAGGA